TAATGTTGCGGATGTCGGGTTTGTCTAAATCCCGTCCAGTCCGGATAACCTAATTTCTCCATAAGTTCAGTTTTCAGTTTGTACAACCATTAACGGCGACGGTTGTGGTTCCTGTCTCTTGGCTGCCCATTTCGATGAACAATAAAGAGAAAGATAGGAAAGTTCAAAGTAGGATCCAGAAGAAAATTTAGAATTTCAGTGGTCTAAGGTTGCAATGAAATTGGGAAGTTGTACTAACGCCATTGTTTACGACATTCAGCCAAACCACTGTCTCTCTCTAACCATTGGTTACGATCATCCCGAGGTCCCCAGCCAGGAAGCCTAACGGGACCTATGTGACCCAGTCCCCTGGTTAGGGATTTTATACCTTCGTGCCAGGTCTTAGGTCGACCGCTCTTAATCTTTCTCCATCCGCTACTGGCCTCGGCAAACATCGCTCGTTGTGGCAACCTATCTCGTAACTAAACTAATTCGTTTGTTGTTTTCACAACAGGACTTGTCACCTTTCTTGTAAATCGATATGATCAACGATTCACATCATTCCGTTGGAACCTCTTTCTTCTCCCATACTGAGCCCAGGAGTTTCGTTAACTCCAAAACCAAGACTGAACTTCCTTAACTTATTTTTCGAGAAACCTCCATTTGCGATTTAAGACTGGCATCAACTGGGAGCATTTGCCCAGTCAAGGTGGGGTAGGGTGGGGTTATAGGTCAGATGTCGAAGTGTCGGAGGGTTCTGCGGGCATCCAGCAGGGCAGCCGAGGTCGATTAAATCCATCGTTTGTGTTTTGAGCCGGCGCCAGGGTCCGACATTGTTTTTAGCGACATTTGCATTGCTTCCTTGATTTGCTTCCAGTGTTTATTGAGTCATTCGGCTGGTGGTTGAAATGACAAGCGATCGGAGAGCTCCGCTCCGAAGGCCGGTTTGCAGGAATCATGGACGATGTATCGGCGTTGTTTGCCAGGCGTAAGGAGAATTTGGCTCGTTGCATGGCGTGATCCGGATCCACAGGTATTGACCAGTAAGAACGGCAGTCTTGAATCGACCCTCTTCAGCGGTAACTGATAGCGATGTGGTCGATTTGGGTCCAGCGCTGAGAAGAGATTGACGATTTCCATGTAAGGTGCGAGGCGTTGGTGCTTGACAGGAACAATCCGTGGTCGGCACAGAGTTGAAGTAGGCTATCTCCATTGTCCTTCCGGTTGGCTGGGATTGCATGTGGTTCGCCAAGAAGCCTTTCTGATTTGTCCAGGGGTCCCGCTTGAGCATTAAAGCCCCCAGCGACTTCTACGACGTCCGTTGGTCAAACACTTTGGAGTAAAGGTCTTTGTCGAATTCATCCTTGATTTCTGACGAACTGCAATCGGTCGGAGCATACACCGATACGAGGAATAAGCATCAACGCCTCGTTCTGTAGCTGTTAACGCGTGCTGAACCGTTCATACATGCAGCACACAGTTGACCACTGAATGAAATCCAGTCAAGAAGCGAGCGCTCAGACTTGGCACCTAGCGCAATCCCAACACCGGCAACACCGCGAGCTTCGGATGTCGAATCACCTGACACACGAAGAGTGAAGCGTGAGGTAGAGATTGGATCCGGAAAACGCAAGGAGTTGATTAAAGTATGGTCTTGTTTCCGTGTTTCGGAGACACAGCATACATCTAAGTGGAAGGTTTCAAAGGTTCTAGCTAAGGCAGTTTCTCGACCAATCTGATAAAGTGTGCGGACATTAAATGCGGCTGAGTGGAAAGGAGATTTTGGTTTCAAAAATCTGATAGCCTCTGAGTGGTTGACCTCATTAGTTGAACACTGAGTGGTATCCGAGGGGTGGCGCAAACAGGATGCATCTCTTAAGGTACGGGAGTGAGGACAGGAAGTAGACAGTTAAAAAAGGCGGTTCTCCAAATGGGTATCTAAGACTTTAGGGCACGGCATATTTCGCGGTTGCCCACACCGACGAAGGGGTTTTCTTTGGGAACCCTAACCGGAGCCTTTAACTCAAAAGTCTGATCCACAAGGCAGTGGGGCGTAAATCCAACGCGGGAACGTGAACGGAGCACCCTTGTAGAAGCTTCTAGAGACCTGTCACGCAAGGCTTTTGAATTTGGGTTNAGTGTGTTGTTCGCTGGTGCGTTGATTATCGATCCGCTTTTCGGGATCGGCCCTTAGTCTTATGTACCCAGTGAGACAAGCGGAACGTGGACGGGACAGCACTTTATGGGCCGGGAGCTGCCCAGCTTGGGCGGGCAGTAGCTGTCCAATGAAGTGCGAAGACTTCTCCCACCGTCGAGAGGAAGCCCCAAGTACCCCACTCCTACGTCCATCTAGCGGGGTTTTTTGAACAGTAAACTACCCCTCATCGTGTTTACTTGCTGGAGTGACCTCTCCAGGGACGGGTGTGGATAGAAGAAAGAAGCCAGGTGTCCAAGCAACTAGCTTTGCGAGACTGAGCTTTGTCTGGCCTCTACCCGTTGACCTTTCAGATATGATTGGATCACGGCGGTGAAAAGTCATCATGTGTAGCTCGCAGTTCGTGGAGACACCCAAGTCATCCCACCACGTCAATTGCTGTCTCGTCTCTCCATAAACAAACAAAAGCACTTTCTGAGTGAGTCACCAAGCGAGGACGAAAGTTTCGGTGGGGTGGGGTCTGACCAATCGTCTCTCCCGTTCCCCCAGTCCAAGAAACCGTATAGCCTGGAGCACCGATCGAGTGAGCTTCATAGACGGGAATGAACTAACCTAACCTAACGGCAATTGACGTCGATCGGTCATATAGACGAGTGTGCCATGACAAGTTGGATCGATAATGCAACGAATACAAACCAATGTGAATGTGGTCATGAACTTTCATGGACTGGTTCAACCTATATCCGCGGCTACATAATGATTGGAATTCCATTGAGGTTTCGTTTCCCGAGAACTTTATCACGCTGGGCAACGAATCCAATTGCCTAATTTTTAGTATTCAAAGGCACAAAAGCTTAACAGGGACTGTTGAATATGAAATAAGAAATAGCAGTGACTAAGACTATCCACTTAGTTACAGATTTTAACATAAATTAGATTTCCTTCGGCGAACCCTGGACTAGCTACTGTGCTGTGCATACAAGTTGAATCACAGACGCGGTGATACCTAGTGGCTTACAGTTCACGTCGGCAGAAATGATTCGGCCATGGCATCATATTCATTGCTCGCTTGATAGGAGGCCAGTGGTATGACCATTGCACTTTGCAAATGGTCTTCATAAAGGGTTAGCTAAGTATTCTTCTCAAAAAACCTC